CTAAACCCTAAGCCCTAAGCCCTGAGCCCTAAACCCTGGTTTCGGTGTTGGGATGTTCCCCCTTATACTAACAATCCTTAGTAAACCCTAAACCCTCAACCCGAAACCCATAGTGCCCCCTATTATAATTTCTATTGAATAGGGATCATAACCGGGGGCACTGTGGGTTTCGGGTTTAGGGTTTTGGTTTGGCATGTTCCCCCTTAATTGTACTAGCAGTCCTTAGTAGGCAATATGGTGAGTATAAGGAGGAACATCCCAACCCCTAAACCCTGAACCCTAAACCCTGTGAAGTTCTTGGCCAGAGCCAAAAGTATAGCCTTATGGCTGCAGGTCTTCGTAGCCCAGGGGCTTCCCTAAACTCCGCACGCTCAGCCTGAACCCTACTTGGAGGTTTCAGGGTTATTAGAACCCAATTGTAGGGGTTTAGGGTTTTGGGTTCAGGGTTTGGGGTTTAGGGTTTTGGGTTATCACTGCACTTTTAATACTTATACTCATAACCCACTGACAAGCCCCTTAAGTGCCCCGAATATGGTTATCATGGGGTTATAAGAACTTCAGTTAAGAAGTACCATGAACCTCCAAGTAAACCATAAACCTGAAAGCTTGTCTCCAAATCTTTAGCCCGAGATTCTGCGCGCGGAAGCTTGCGTGCTGCACCCTAAACAGCCTAGACCCTAAACCTCATAAGCCCTGAAGCTTCTGCCCTAAACTCTCAACTCTGAACTCTAAACCCTAAACCCTAACCACTAAACCCTAAACCCTAACCCTCAACCCCAAAGACGACGAGGTGCCTGGAACACAGGCCCGGCCGCCAGTGGCCCAGGCGCTGCACGTGCGCCTGCGCAGGACCTTGGACTTAGGGCCTAGGGTTTAGGGTTTTGGGTGCGGTTGAAGGTTCATGAGTTCTTCCCCTGAGTAAGGTTAGAACTACTGGCACAAAAACTAATTCCCCTAGAGCCTCAACCTGGGCCCTACTTGGAAGCCCACGTATCTAGCCACGGGCCTGCAGCCTCCAGGTAGGGCTCAGCGAGGGTTTAAAGGGCCCCCCCCCCCCCTGCACTGCCACAGGAAAAAGCAGAGCCTGCGATCGAGCGAGCGAGTGAGGAAGTACAGTAAACAGAAAAGACGCGCCCCGCGGCAAGAGCAACAACAACAAAATGCGCCCCACAGCAACATTAAAGAACGTCACGGTCACCACCCTTAGCCCCTGAGCATCTAAGATAACCCTGAAGCCAGAGACCCGCAAATCTGAAGCGAAACGCTTCGGCTGCGTAGCACAGGCCCGGTATGTGCAGAGCTGCAGCGGCACCTATTGAATTTTCCTTAAGGGTCCATGTACCTAAATAGGGAATGCTTGATCCTTAAAGTACCTCCTATATAGGGACTTTGGGGGGCCAAGTATAGAATAATGAATAATGAGGTACATGGACCCGTAGACCCTCGACCCTAAACCCTAAACCCTAAACCCTAAACCCTAAACCCTAAACCCTATAAACCCTAAACCCTAAACAAGCATAGAACGCCTCCAAAAACCACATGGGAGCGCAGATCACAGCTGTCAGGGCCGCCTGACTTGCCCCCAGTGCTCCCCTAAACCCTAAACCCTAAACCCTAAACCCTAAACCCTAAAAACTGGGACCCAGCTGGTTCTTAGTCTCTACTATGTGCTGAAGAACCCCCCCCCAAAGAAAAAAAACTAGAAATCATAATCCCTATATTCCCCTTATAAGGAAGATTTGTTGTTTTATTAATTTCACTGTTGTTTTTTTGGGGGGGCAGAGAAGGCCCTTATTATCTTTCTGTTTGGGTGTTTAGGTTCCCTTACATGAGCCCCTTTAAATCAGAAAGGGCACCCATTGTATTCCTAGGTTACTTTGGGTCTGGCCCTAAACCCTGAACCCTGAACTCTGAGCTCTGAACCCTGAACCCTGAACCCTGAACCCTGAACCCTAAACCCTAAACCCTGAACCCTGAACCCTGAACCCTGACCCTAAACCCTAAACCCTCAACCCTAAACCCTGAACCCTGAACCCTGAACCCTGAACCCTGAACCCTGACCCTAAACCCTAAACCCTCAAGCCTAAACCCCAAACCCCAAACCCTGAACCCTGAACCCTGAAGCCCAAGCTCCCAAATACCCAAAGTTGGAAAGGACAATCGGCGGACAAGATGGGGTGCCGGCAGACGAAGAGATGCTGCGGGCAGGGCCCCCGGAGGTCTGTTTAGGGTTTAGGGTTTAGGGTTTAGGGCTTAGGGCTTAGGGCTTAGGGTTTAGGGCTAGGGTTTAGGATGGTTTAGGGTTTAGGGTTCAGGTTTTGGTGAAAGGTTTCGGGAAGGATGGTTCAAGGTTTAAGGCTCTTGGGGGATGTTTGGAAGGATGGCTTAGGGTGTGGGATGTTGGAGACGGGCCAGCACCTTCCCCTCAAGGGATTTAGGAGTTCAGAGTCGCACCCCACAGGAGGTACCCCTAAGAGGTTCCCTGAATGCACTCCTAATATGGCCCTGATATTCTCTTAGAGGACCCAAGGTACAACCTTCGGGGCCCCAGGTAGAGTCCTATGATCTTCCCCCTCCCCCTCCCCCCCTTGCAGAATTTTGCTTCCTTAGTTGCCATTCTTGGGCCGACACCCGTCCAGATTGCTTGTTTCCTATAAGAAGTCACCTGTAGAACATGTCCAACGGTGCCTCCCTGAGCATGTTGTCCTGCAACCCTAAACCCTAAACCGAAACCCTAACCCCTACAAACCCTAAACCCTGAGCCCTCGCTAATAAACCACACGACCCTGAACATACAAGTCTCAAAGAAGCACACCCCTGAACCCTTGAACCCCTAAGTGCCTTCTTTAATTCAAGGGGCATTCGAGCGTCTGAGTCAGACTCTCAGTCCCACACTATCCCCCTAAACCTTAAACCGTAAACCCTAAACCCCCGAAACGCCCCTAAACCCCCTCAAGCCCCCTAAGCCCCCTAAGCCCCCTAAACCCCCTAAACCCCCTAAACCACCCTAAACCCCCTAAACCCCTAAACCCCCTTAACCCCCTAAACCCCCTATAAACCCTAAACTCAACTTCAGAGCCTCCGAAGACTATCCGGGTGAACGCTTTGCAGCCAGACGTGGGCTCGAGGTCGGGTCTGCGCGCCCAGCCCTCTAAGCCCTAAACTCTTAAACTCTGAGCCCTAAACCATAAACCCTAAACTCCAAACCTAAACTTGGGATTATGGTTTTGGGGCCTCTGAATCCTCAACATAGAGAGCCGAACAGGTCGTGAAGATTCGAATTTCTCAGTCCCTACACTGGGGTCTCTCATTCCCGGGGACCCTCAGAACCTAGACCCTACAGTGAACCATCCCAAGGCCTGGATTGCAAACCCTATCGTGCAGAAGCTAAACAAGAAGAGGCCTCAACTTAACCCTAAACTCTAAACCCTGCAACCTAGTTATTCGTGATAGTAAAACCCAAAACACAAAGCCTAAACCTTAAACCCTAAACTCTCATCCCTAAGCCCGAACCCTAAACCCTGAGCCCTAAGCCCTAAACCCTAAACCCTCAACCCTAAACCCCCCCAAATGGATGGATTCTTCCGTGGTCACCCCTCGCCTTCTTTTGCCCGTGGTGGCCGTTGCCGCCCACTGGCACCCGGGCCTGGTTTTTCACAGGTTTAGGGTTTAGGGTCTTGGGCTTAGGGCTTAGGGTTTAGGGTCTAGGGTTTATTGTTTAGGGGTTGGTTTTCCGTTTCTTAGTTTGGTATGTTTTCTTTTGGGGTACGGGGGGGGGGGGGGGTGTGATTTTGGGTTTAGGGTTTAGGGTTTGGCTTATTTAGGGCTTTTGGGTTTTGGGTTATGAGGCTTTCTGGAATGTTAGATCCTAGGGTTTGGGGTTAACCCCAAATCTATGGGATCGAGAGTTTGCGTTTTTTGGTTTGACATGGCACGCAGGGTTGACTACCTCGATCTAGGACCATTTCAGGCGGGCGGTTTCCCCCATGCTTAGTAATCTAAGACTTAGGATTTAGGTCTTCGGGTGTAGGGCCTTCGGGCCCAATATAACCCTTGGATAACCCTTCGTGCCAATGTTTAACTGTTTTTTTCTGAAGTTCGGATGTCTTCGCAATGAGTTGTTAGAAAACACAGAGCACAATGCTAGTGTTCAGCTACCTAAACCCTAAACCCTAAACCGATGCAAGTGGGAAAGAAGAGGATGGTGCAGGAGGTGCTCCGCCTGCAGCAACAGCTCCCCCGCCTGCACCAACAGCTCCTCCGCCTGCACCACCTCCTGCTTCAAGCACCAGCTGTAAGACCTCCAGCTCCGGCAGCTGGTCGTTGGGTATCGCCCGCACAAGGAAGATGTGCCGATGAAAATCTGCGACCAACGATCTTCGTACCAACAGGAGAAGGCATCAGGCTGTTTGCGTTAAGCCGATGTGCACCCTAAACCCTAAACCCTACGTCTAGGGCCCACTACTTATCCTACAGTACCTGCGCGGAATTATAACCAAAGCACTTACAGGGTTCAGGGCCTGTACAGTAGGAATCTGGAGACCTGTGCCCACCTGAAACCATGAACAGCCTACACACTTGAAACCCTTCGGGTTTAGGGTTGAGGGTTTAGGGTTTAGGGCTTCGGGTTCCAAAAGCCCTATACACTTTAGACCCTAAGCCCAAGCCCTACAAGCTTTAAACCCTAAACCCTGACTAGGGCCCAGAGTAGGCCCGTATTCCCTTTGTTGGGGGGGTTTTGTTTCCCTCATAAGCCCCTCAAAAAGGACCACCCTTTTCATTCCTAGGTTCCTCTTGAGTCTAGCCCTAAACCCTAAACCCTCAACCCGAAACCCTAACCCTAAACCCGAAAACCTAAAACCCTAAACTTGAGAAACCCGACACCCTAAACCCGAAACCCTAAACCCTAAACCCTAAACCTCGAACCCTGAACCCTAGACCCAAACCCCAAACCCCAAACCCTAAACCCCAAAACCTAAACCCTAAACCCTGAACCCAAGGTACCTGGCGGTGGACCCCGGCATCGTGGCAGAGCCCCCCGCGCCCTCAGCGCTTGAGGAGCAGCTGGAGGTCGGCAGGGATTAGGGTTTAGGGTTGAGGGTTTAGGGTTTAGGGTTTAGGGTTTAGGGTTTTAGTAGTTTAGGGTTTAGGGTTTAGGGTCCCTACTTACTACTTGGAGGTTCGTGGTACTTAAGAACCAATTATAGCCCTACTTGGAGGTTTAGGGTTTAGGGTAAAGAGTTCTGGGCAGTCTTTTTTGGGGGCAGAGGAGCTATAGGGTCGGGGTTTAGTAATGTACGCAACATAGATCTACTTGTCGAGGGTGTGTCGGGGTTTAGGGTTTAGGATTTAGGGTTTAGGATTTAGGGTTCGGGTTCAGGGTTTGCAGGTTCCAGGGTTTGGGTTTTGTTGTAAGTCTCGGGCTTCGGGCTCAGGGTTTCTTGTTACACTACTAGGAGGGCTCAAGCAAGGGCCCCTCAAGAAGGTAAAGCAGGGGCATAAGTGTGAGGCTTTGTGATGCCCTAAAACCTCAGCCCCTTTAAAACAACCTCACAGTCTGGGGGTCGGAAAGGTCTCGGGGTTCGGTCTATTCAGGGTTGAGGCAGAGGGCTGGGGGTTCTTCGGGCTTAAATGTAGCGGGAGGAATCCTAAACCCTAAAACCTAAACCCTGTATAAACCCTTTACTCTAAACCCTAAACCCTAAACCCTAAACCCTAAACCCTAAACCCTAACCCTGAGCCCTGAACCCTAACCCTGGTACCCCAGACCCTGCCTATCTCCCCCGCCCGCCCACCCCCGAATGGTAGGGGAAATAGGCCTTACCAAACCCTAACCCTGAACCCTGAATCCTAAACCCTAAACCCTACACCCCACACCTACGCCCTAAACCCTAAACCCTAAACCCCAAACCCAAACCCTGAATCCTGAGCCCTGAATCGGAAGTAGGCCTTACCAACGGTGAACGTCAACGCCATCTGGGACGAACTTCTGCTTAAGGCTCGGGGAGGGCTCCAAAAGCTCAAATTTCGGGTTTACGGTTTGGGGTTTAGGGTTTCGGGTTTAGAGTGTAGGTTTTTTTTTTGGGGGGGGGAGGGGGGGGGGGGCTACAGGTGGGGTTAGTAAGGTATGTGTGTGTATCTCCTGTGAAACGCCTTAAAGCCCAGACCTAGGATGTAGGGTTTAGGGTTTAGGGTTTAGGGTTTAGGGTTTAGGGTTTAGGGTTTAGGGTTTAGGGTTTAGGGTTTAGACACTTGGGCCTTTAAAGGGGCTCCGATATAGTAGCTAGCTTGACAACCCGGGTATATAAGGGTATTTCCCACAAAAAGGCTCCCCTAGCATACCCCCAATATGGTATAGTCCTCTATAGGAACCCCCAAAAAGGCTCACCCTATTTTCGGAAACCCCCTATGTATAGAAATAGACACTCTAAAGGTACATGGACCCTTAGGGTAGGCTCCACGGCCCGTGCTGCCGCGGCCGCCACCGCCGCCTCCAACGCCGGACAAGACGGGCAAGAGACTGAGACTCCCTGGAAGCGAGTCCAGGATGCCACTGCGGGCGCCCCAGAAAGTTCAGGCGCCAGGCCGTCGCCGATGGCGGCAAGCGCCTGCCCATTGGCAGCCGTGACGACTGGTCGGATTGGGTTGACCCTGGCCCGCCCCTTGGCTACCCCGATCCCGATGGCGCCGACGTCGCCGACGACGACTCCGATTCTGATGACCCCGGCCCCGGCAGTGGCAGTGGTGACGGTGACCGGAGCAGAACCCCCCCACCCCCCCCAAGCCCTAAACCCTGAACCCTGAACCCTAAGCCCTAAACCCTGGACACAACAAAAGCTTGTTATTTATGGTTTCTAGGCGTACTTTCCTGTGCGACGTGCGAGCCCGACTCAGCCCGTTTCCTGCGTACGCTGGCAGGTAAGGCTCGTGATTAGTACCTGCATTCGCCTTACCAGCCCCTGTGCAAGACTCAAGCATCCCTCAGCCCGAAACCCTAAACCATGGGTTCCCCTACTAACCCCTCTAGACTACCGCCCCTAGTTTCCCCCCATCATGAAGGCTACTTAGGGAGAATTAAGCCTAATTAAGGTTATTTAAGGGGGGAAGCTAGGGGGGGTAGTATAAAGGGAGGTAGTAGGGAAACCCATGACGAAACCCTAAACACTAAGTTACCAAATCCCCCCGATCCAAGTCGGGTCTCAACCCAGATCGAGAATCGGCGCACTGCCTACGACCGCTGGGGCACTCGCATTTTGCTCTTTCCGCTGCTTGGATATGGTTTACTGAGCCCTAAGCACTAGCATTTAGGGGTTAGGGTTTAGGGGTTTAGGGGTTTAGGGTTTAGGGTTCAGGGTTTAGGTTATCCACCTAAACCCTGAAATGAGTCCCTGAACTATTCCACTCAGATCCAAAAGTGGCCATTATTCCCTTTTTGAAGCAGGGGGGTCAGCTTCCCTTATTTAACCCCTTTTAAACAAAACGGGTACCTTTTGTTCCTGGCTTACTTTGGGTTTAGGGTGTAGGGTTTAGGGTTTCATGTATAGGGTTTAGGGTTTAGGGTTTCGAGGTATAGGGGCTATATGCTACTAAATTGCTCCTTGTACTGGTGAGCGCATGTGTCTGGGGACATGTTTGGGGCTGCCAGCAATAAACTCTTGCTGCGATGCCTGAATTCTAAACCCGAAACCCTAAACCCCAAACCCGAACCCTAAACCCTAAACTAGTCAAACCCGAAACCTACTGCTAGGCTATGGAGGCCAAAGTTCCCTGGAACCCGACAGTCCCAATCTCCCAAGTGTTCCTATTGTACCTACTTATACCAAAAAGTATGTACCTTTTTTTTTCAGGGTCTACTCCAAAGTAGGGTCAAAACGCCTGCGCCCAACAGCATTCCACATAGTGGCTGCATAGACCATTGTTGTATTGTTTTGGTGAAACAAATGTTCATACATATATGTATATATATATATATATATACATATAACCAGGATCTCCTTAGCAAACCTTCCTTAGAGGTGCGGGGGACTGAAACAACTACCAATTGCTTAAGAGCCTCCCAAAAAATGCAAAACCCTATATTACGCTTCTAAGGACGTGTTTAAAGTTTCTGGGGGGTGCTTAAGAAACTCGCAGATAAGTGCAGTAGAGTTCTCAGTACCTCAAAAGGGGGACCCGGATTGGGGGTTATCCTACTTAGTACTACGAGGCCGAGTACCTGATATTCCGAAACCCTAAACCCCAAACCCCAAAAAAAACCTAAACCCCTGAAACCGTAAAAACCTAAACCCTAAACCCTAAACCCTAAACCCTAAACCCTAAACCTTAAACCCTAAACCCTAAACCCTAAACCCTACAGTGTGCCAGGTTGTATGGCCCTCTCTTGCTCGTCGTAGCCTACTATGGCTCCGGGCGGCTCCGAAGAGCTGCTCGCTGGCCCCTTGGCTTTCGGGTTTAGGGTTTGGGGTTTGGGGTTTAGGGTTTAGGGTTTAGGGTTCAGGGTTTAGGGCTTAGCGTTTAGGGTTTTAGGGTTTTGGGGTTTCAGGGTTTCAGGGTTTCAGGGTTTTAGGGTTTTAGGGTTTTAGGATCAGGCCCCTCGGCCTTCGGCAATGAGATGGCACAAGCAAGGTTTAGGGTTTGGGGTTAGGGGTTTAGGGTTTGGGGTTTTGGAAAACCCCGACCCCCCGCCCCCGACGCCAGAGTGGAAGCTGTAGCTATCGTCCCTCAGGATCTACTTCGTTTGACGAATTGTGGTTTAGGGTGTAGGGTTTGTATGAATAAGGTAACCTAAAGAGCCCAACACCCCTTAATGAAGGAACATACCCTGAATCATACTAAGAATCTCTAGATTCTTCTTATGCATCATGGCTTAGACCTGGGAACAATTAAGCCTCAGCCCTGAACCCTATAACCCTAAACCCTAGAACCCCAAAGGTGCGTACTGAGCCCTTCAGGGTTTAGGATTGAACTTCACGTTGTGGGATTCCTTGGCCTGCCAAAGATTTTGCTTAGTCGCCTGATTGTTGGAGATAAGAGGCATAAGCGGCTTGCTGAGGATCCTTGTATAGTTTGAGGCCTAAACCTTCAGCAACAAAACCTAATCCCTAGAGCCTGAATCCTCAACCCTAATCCCCTAATTGAGTGAATTTGGGTCTCTCTGGCCTTTGAAAGCACATGAGGCTTCAGAAACATCCCCTCGTCGTGGAGGCTGCCGGCTATGCCGGCAGGCCGCTTGGGGTTTAGGGTTTAGGGTTTAAGTTTAGCGCCCACCCCCCCCCCCCCCCCCCCCCCCCCCACCCTCAACATCTTAGGGGGCCTTAATAATTAGAACTAGGGCCTTAGGGTTTGGGGTTTCGGGGTTTAGGGGTTTAGGGGTTTAGGGGTTTAGGGATTTACGGGTGCAGGATTTAGGGTTTAGGGTTCAGGTTCAGGGTCCTGGAGCCCTCGATCACGAAACCCAGGAAGCCATAAATTCCAATTCCTTTGAAACGTTTCTTTGGCTGCTGACTAAAGCACTCTTGTCTTTGTTGATTTCAGTTAATCCACTAAGCCCTAAACCCCTGTTTCTTTAGTTAAAAGTTGAGGGTTTAAGGTCTTGAAGAGGGTTTGAGGCCTTCCGTTCAATACCAAAGCCCCCAAACCTCAAACCTACCACCTCAAACGCTAGGGTTTCTGGGTTGGCCTTTATTTAGGGTACGTATCAGGGAACCCCAAGCCCTCAACCCTAAAACCCACAACCCCAAACCCTTAACAACCCTAGACCCCAAAGACGACCCCACTTGGAGGTTCATGTACATATCACCCAATCATAGCTGTACTTAGAAGCCACTTACAAACCCCTTAACTACCCTAACATGGCTCTCATTTTGTTATACGTACAGATATAATTGGGCTATCAAGTACCATGAACCTCCAGGCAGACCTTGCTCTTCGTCAGGCTTAGTTAATTATCCCTAGATAGCCTGGTGGGGGGGGGGGGGTAGTAGGGGAACCCTAAACCCTAAATCCTAAACCCTAAACCCTAAACCCTAAACCCTGCGCCAGCTTCCTCCTCGCGGCCCGTGGGCGACGCACGGCAGATGTGGGACTCGCCTACGGCGGGGCCCTGGCTTTCGCGGCCTGCCACGCGGCCTCCGCCGCGGGAGCAGCACGACGTTTTTTTTTTAGGTTGTTTGCTTTCCGAAGGGTTTAGGGTTTAGGGTTTAGGGTTTAGGGTTTAGGGTTTAGGGTCTAGGGTTTAGGGTTTAGGGTTTGGGCTTTAGGGTTTAGGGTTTGGGGTTTGGGCTTTAGGGTTTAGGGTTTGGGGTTTGCGGTTTAGGGCTGACAAGTTTCAACCCTTAGCTTCTGGGCTCCAGGGTTTGTAGGGTTTAGATGGACCCCAAGATTCGGGTTTGGGGTTTAGGGTTTAGGGTTTAGGGTTTAGGGTTTAGGGTTTAGGGTTCAGGGTTTGGGTCTTAGGGACCTCGGGGTTCAGGCTTTCAGGGTTGAACCTTTGGGCCCCCTTTTATAACAGGGATGTAGGGTTTACAGTGTAGGGTTTAGGGCTTAGGGTTTGGGATGCTCCCGCTTATTCTCACAGTCCTGAATACGATTACAATAGGGGGGGGGGGTACTATAATCCATATTAAGGACTGTTACTATAAGGTGGGTGAACGCGGCGGGTGGAACGTGAGGAGGGATCGGCGAGAAGGCTTGGACATGGAAGTGGAAGGACGATTAGGGGTTAGGGTTTAGGGTTTAGGACTGATAGCGATAACGACGATAGACATGGCTGAAATGGAGAAGCCATGCAGATGACAACAATGGCACTGAGGGCTGGCAATCATATCTTAAATTTTAAAGCCAAGGCGGAGTTCCATCGTCAGGGCACTTGGTTTGCCTGGGACCCCATTTTCCTACAGGTTTATGGGTTCTACCTACTAAGAGCGCGGAGGGTGGTGTGTCTGAGGCCCTTCAACCCTGAGACCACACAAGCAACCCTTAAAACCTGACGTCCGGAAAGCTCCCCACGCCCAACAACTTAAGACCAAAGCCCTCAACCCTGAACCCACAGACCCCATAGAGGGTTATTTAGGTTTGGGTGGGGAGTGTGGGCCGGGGGGGGGGGGGGGGGGGGGGAGGGTCCTTCGTCCTTCGAGGTCCAGATGCGGCGGCCTGCCGGGAAACCTCTGCTAGAACAGCTGTGGCTTGGCGCACAGGAGATTTGTTCCTGGGTTCTGGTGTATAACCCAAGGTTCCCTCTAATACTCCCCACTGCTCCCTAAGCTTCCCTAAGGTCCCTAAGGTCCCTAAGGTTCCCTGGGTACCTACCCCCCCCCATCCTAAACAAACCTCAACTCTAAATCCCAAAACCCGGAACCTGAACTGAAAACCCTGAAGCCCTAAACCTTAACCCCAAAACCCACCCCAAACCCTGACACCCTACATCCCTAATCCCCTAAACCCTAAACCCTAAACCCTAAACAAGGAGGCCCAGCGCTGGGGATGCTGTGCTTTGGCCTCTTGGGCTTGCACGTTCCGTGTGGAAGGGGGGGGGGGGGGATGCTCTGAAGCGGGCTTCTGGGTTTAGGGTTTAGGGTTTAGGGTTTAGGGTTTAGGGTTTAGGGTTGTGTGGAGTGTTCCGAGCGTGGTTCTGGGACTCAATGGAGTTTGTCGGTTCGTGGGGATTGGGGTTCAGAAAGTTTAAGGTCGAGGGCGGGTGCTTTGTGAGTTTGACACAAGATTGGCCCCCGATACGCGTGCGTGTGTATGTATATAGTATATATATATATATATATACACCACGCCCTACTGTAAAACCGATAATCTCCAACTTCTAACCTTAGGGTTTTGAGCTTGAGGAACAACGGTTTCAGCTTTGGGACTTAGGGGCTAAAGTAGCCTGTAGAAGCCCAAAACCCTCAAAATCGCTCTAAATCCTGGGTGACTTTTCCTTGCACACCTAAGCTTGCACCCTTAGGTTTGGGGACCCTTATTAAACTCGGCTTTCTTCTGGCTGGCTCTGGACTTTATGACTTTCTGGTTTTTGTAGAAACTACAAGAAGGAGCCTAAAAGTTAAACTTTTAGGAGGGGTTCAGAAGTCAGCCAAGATAGCAGGAACCCTAAACCCTAAACCCTAAAACCTAAACCCTAAAACCTAAACCCTCAACCCTCTGAAGCCCTAAAGGCTCTTCTTGCACGCAGCCTGTTGGGCCGCCCTCTGCGTGGCGCACGTCGCGCCCTGGGCTGGCCTGGCGGCCATGCACCTCGGTAGGGGCTGAGGGGAATTCACTGGATTTACAGGGGTTGTAGGGTTGAGGGTTCAGGGTTACTGTATAGGATTTAGGCTTGAAAGGGTTTGGGACCAATTGTAACTGCACCTATAATCCACTTATAAGCCCCTCAATTGCCCGAATACGGTTAAAATTGTGTTATAAGTGCAGTTGCTATTTGGTTTGCAAGTACCATGAACCCCCAAGTAGGTCGATGAAGGCGTGCAGGGAGCTTGCGCGGGCGAGGCACGCGCCCGGGCTGCGGACCCTGGCTTTTCCTTGAAGCCCGGTTGCTTTTTGGACGAAAATCGCGATCTCGCCTAGGTGCGGGCGTGGCCGCGATCTGCATGGGCTCGTGACATGTCGTTGCGCTCGGACGTCTGTGCTTGCGAGATGCGAAACGGTCTCTCACTGCTTGGGGGCGTTATGTCTGGGTTACATGTGCAGTGCAGTCATGATGGGTTCAGAAGTACCATGAACCTCCTGAGCGTTGATGGCTGCATTTTCAGGGCATTTTGCCCCGTACAGCTTCGGATATTCAATCCTTGTACGACGCTTCTGTGAACCCCAAACCCTGAACTAGGGTGCAGGATTTAGGATTTTCGTAAAGGCTCAGGGGACTTGGTAAGTGGGGCTATAAATCAGGTAACTATAGTTATGATGACTTGTAATCCCCATTATGGTAATTCTAACCCTACTTACTTAACAAAATCCTAAATAGGGCTTACAATTCGGTGTGAAAGTAGGCCTTTTCAAGAGGTGCCAACTATGTTGTCCTTTTTGCGGTCCGTGAGCCCTTTCTAAGGGTATCTTAGCAGATGGGAACCCCACCAATTATTGGAGAACTCACCATACAATGTTGAGGTAGATGAACCCCAAACCCTAAACCCTAGACCCTTTGAAACCAAGGCTACTCCTCCTTAGTGCCCTGGTCATGCTGCTCTTCGACCTCGGATTTGCTGGCGACTCTGGTGAGGATGGCGACATGTGGGTCGGCCGCCTGTCTGCGCTTAAGGGTTTAGGGTTTAGGTAGGGTTTGGGGTTGAAGGCCTAGGGCTTAGGGCTGAGGGTTGCTTGTTTTGAGTTGTCCTAGCTGTACGAGAATTTAGGGGTTGGGATGTACCTGATCTAAACCCAGACTGTTCCAGATAGGAGCTGTGCGACACATATGAACTCCTGGTTTTCGATGGCCTTAATCATTACCTGATACGATCCGCTGCTTTAGCCCGAATTTTGGTATAATCTACGACCCAGAGTGCCCTTATTCCCTTTCTTTCGGGTTTAGGTTCCCTTAGCCTTTTAACCCCGTTGAAACCAAAAAGGGCATCCTTTTTGTTGTTGGGTTGCTCCTGTGTCTACTAATGAACGCTCCCCCAAAGTCCCACTCTAACTGAGCAGGCCCTCACTCATGCCGAGACCCATCACCTGGGTTTCGGTTCTAGGGTTTAGGGTTTAGGGTTTAGGGTTTAGGGTTTCGGCTCCCAGGTTTCTAACGCCGCAACTGCACACCTGGAAGCCTCCATAGGGTGCTGCTTTGGTCGTGTGTCGAAAAGTAGTACTTGGGATGTTCTCCCTTACACTAACGGTCCCTCATAATGGGGATTAGAGTACCCCCCCTATTACAATCCCTATTACAGGACTAGGTAGCATAAGGGGGAACATCCCGAAGTGGTACCCTTATTCCCTATGTTTTGGTTGAATATCCGTCCTAAGTCTTATGAAGCCACGTGGCTGCCCTAATACAGGGGTCGGAATAGTTACGACTACGATTCCCTTAGGGCCCCTTTGCAATTGTACGAAAAAAGCCTCCCCAAAACGGCCCAAAACCCTATTCTAATTATTCAGGCCTCTATATAGTAGTTTCTCCTAGGCCTCGTATGACTCTGTGTGGTATGGACTTCGAATGTCTTGTTTGACCGGAACCCTTTTGTAAGCAGCAGACCGCCGAATGCCTGAGCATTATGACTACCCTGGAAACCAAACGAACCCTACAATTGGAGTCATTTTCCCTTGTGTCTACACACTGCTTTGTTGGTTTAGGCGCATGCATTGCGAATGCACGTCGAATCTGCGGCGTTTGCGCTTTGCAAGTTTTGAGCGGTTGCAAATCCTCGTGGGCTGGGTGTTTTGCAGTTGGGCGCTGCTTTCAAAATGCCCAGGTCTTGCTGCTGTTCCTTCAAAGTCAAAGGAACACAGACAGGGGCGCATAGTCAAAGACTCGCAGCGGATACGCAAACACAGAGACAAAGCAAAGATATGTCTGTATGTATTCTGAATATTGGGATGCTATACCCCCTTTTGCTAACAGTCCTTACTAGGGATTATAGTAGGGGGGGTGCTACAATCCCTATATTCAGGGCTGTTATAGTATTAGGGCGAGAATCCCAAATATTGATATTCTTGTTGCGTATCATTACAGTCACTGCAGGTCTTGGGAACTACAAGCATGGGTGGGCCGACAGTACTCCGAGCTTCTGATTCTAAGGGCTCTAAGGTGATGCAAGCCTTGTGGCCCCTGAAGCGTGTGATGCCTAGAAAGGCTGATTTAAGCTGTTGAAGGTTTTTGTTGGGCTTTTCGCTGGCCTCTACGGGCCGCGGGAAGATAGCAGTTTCAGGCTACATCCTCCTTCTCGAATTCGCATACTGAGCTTGCCGTCTCTACACTGCGTAAGCCCACGTGAGGGAGTGTGTATTCTAGGTCCTCCTCGTGCACATTTATTGAGTGTAGAATATGTGGTGCCCTGTTGGAGAAACTGCAATCATCAATAAACCGTAAACCCTACGTAAACCCTAAACCCCAAGCCCCAAACCCTAAACCCTACACAAATCCCCAAAAAGCCCCAAAACCAACTGGAGGTCTCTGGCAGATCTCAAGCACGTCCGCCGCGGCGTCGGCCGCGATCTTCGTCGTCTGCTGCTGTCTCGGGAGCCGACTGCAGGCGTTTGCGCTTCTCGGCTAAAGTGGTTTAGGGTTTAGGGTTTAGGGTTCTGGAGGGCTACTGAATTGGGGCCCGTTTTAATGTAAAGCCCTCTAAACCCTAAACCCTGATATTTTATACCAACAACCCAAGGGCCGCGGACCATCCCTCAGAACCTCCTACTCAGGAGGGTAAGTTGCCATATTCAAGGACCATTGGGCTTTGGAGTACTATACTTTAATACTTTTTTTGGTTCTGGGTTCCCGTTATAGATACTTTATACCTAAAAATTGTACACTTTTTTCCAGGGTCTACTCCAGAGGTAGGGCTTAGGTCTAGCCCGAAACCCTGAAGCCTAGAGAGCTCCGTCTTCATAGAGCAAAGAGCTGAAATGGCTGAGAGGATATATAGGCTCGCTCTGCATATGTTCTTTGGCATTTTAGGGGTTCAAGGTTTAGGGTTCGTTAAACCGTTAAACCCTAAACTCGAAAATCCTACGCCCTGAACCCTATCCCTAAACCCTAAACCCTAAACCCTTAACCCTTAACCCTTAACCCTTAACCCTTATAAACCCTAAACCCTTGGATTTAGTGTTTGGGGTGGCGAGGTTCGGCGCCTGCTGTTGTGGCCATTTCACCCTCTTGCTGGCGATGCTCCTGCTCGGCCTGGGCTTTTCGGAAAGCTACGTGCGCCGGCAGGCTCTGAACCCTAGACCCTAAACCCTAAACCCTAAACCCTAAACCCTAGAGGGTGTAGGGTTCAGGGTTTGGATTTAGGGTTTTAGGGTTTTAGGGTTTTAGGGTTTCAGGGTTTAGGGTTTTAGGGTTTTAGGGTTTTAGGGTTTTAGGGTTTTAGGGTTTTAGGGTTTTAGGGTTTTAGGGTTTTAGGGTTTTAGGGCTTTAGGGCTTTAGGGTTTTCGGGTTTTCGGGTTTTCGGGTTTTAGGGTTTTAGGGTGTTAGGGTGTTAGGGTGTTAGGGTTCAGGGTTTGGGTTTAGGGTTTTTCTTTAGATCCTTACCTTTTTTGGGTTTATTGGGTTTACCTTTTTTGGGGTTTCAGGGTTTTAGGTTTTTAGGGTTTTAGGGTTTTAGGTTTTTAGGGTTTTAGGGTTTTAGGGGTTTTAGGTTTTAGGGGTTTTAGGTTTTTGGGGTTTTAGGGTTTCAGGGTTTTAGGGTTTCAGGGTTTCAGGGTTTTAGGGTTTGGGTTTAGGGTTTTGGGGTTTTAGGGTTTAGCGTTTAGGGTTTAGGAGTTAGGGTTTAGGGTAAACCCTACTAGTGCTAAACCCTAATCCCTAACTGTTCGGAACCCTAAGGGTCCATGTACCTAAATAGGGGATACTTGGGCCTCAAAGTACCTCCCATACAATCGGGACATTGGGGCCCTAGTACATACGAGTACTAGCAACCCTAAACCCTAAACCCTAAACCCTAAACCCTGAACCCTAAACCCTAAACCCTATAAACCCTAAACCCTGAACCCTAAACCCTAAACCCTGATGGACCCTTAGGGGATACCCCAAACCAGATTGTTAGAGAGCTGCACCCCACCCGATTGCAAAGCCCGCCGAAGGCGCTGGCGCTGCTGGTGTTTCTGATGGGCTGCGGTCTCGGCTACTTTGCCGTCTTATAGGGATGAGGGTTTTGAGGGGTTTAGGGTTTAGGGTTGAGGGTTGAGGGTTGAGGTTTGAGGGTTTAGGGATTCAGGGTTTAGGGTTTAGGGGTTGCGGTTCAGGTTTTAGGGTCTAGGGCTGAGTGTTTCGGAGGAGTATGGTACTCTAGTGTGGTCCCGTACCTTCTTTTAAAAACCGAGGCTTCTGCAGTATGGGCCCGCGGGTCCTTTATCGGGATAAATACGGGGCAGAATATGAAGGGTTCCCAAACAGGGGCCCAGCATAAGAGGCCATGTAACGAAGATCTTCCTAATGTCGCAACAGACCTTTTTGTTGCAGGCACGAAAGTCCAGGACCCCTGGCCTCCTCTTACCCTTGGTAGGGTTGAGGTTTGGGATAAGGGTTCAGGGTTTTCAAGTGTAGGGTTTGGCAGAATATGAAGGGTTCCCAAATAGGGGCCCAGCATAAGAGGCCATGTAACGAAGATCTTCCTAATGTCGCAACAGACCTTTTTGTTGCAGGCACGAAAGTCCAGGACCCCTGGCCTCCTCTTACCCTTGGTAGGGTTGAGGTTTGGGATAAGGGTTCAGGGTTTTCAAGTGTAGGGTTTGGTGCCCTATGAAGGTTATTTTTGCAGAAGGAGTGTTTTTTTGCCTTCGTTTAGGTTCATAGGTTAGCGTTTCAGGGTTTAGGGTTTAGGGTTTAGGCCGGTTTAGGGTTTAGGGTTCATAAGTCACCGTTTCAGGGTCATTTTGCTTGGAGCAGTGGGCTGCCAAGGCTACGTGTGGGACGCTCCAGGCCTCCTCAACAGTGCCCTGAGCTTCCTGCTGTTGCGCCTAGACCGATCGGTTTAGGGTTTAGGGTTTAGGCCTGAGGGTTCCCGAAACTTCAGATCCTGCAAGCCCAGACGATGGGCCCGGCATTTTCCTCAATCCTAGACCCTAAACCCCGAACGTAAACCTTAAGCCTACGCCCCATTAGGCTGAAACCCTACAGAGGGTTTGTTTTTGGCGGATGCTTGGGGATCGGCAGTTGAAAACTTCAAGGAACAACATGAGTTTCAGTGATACTTCCAGTGCTCTCTAGGGAGGTTGTAGGGTTTTTGGGGGTTCGAACCTCCCAGCTATCTTAGGGTTTAGGGTTTCGGGATTCAGGTTCTAGGGTTGAGGGTTCAGGGGTTAGAGATTCAGGGTTTAGGGTTTAGGGTTCAGGGTTTAGGGTCTGCCCATTTCAGGGTCCCTACAAGACCTGGGAGTGGAGGGACCTGGGCCCCGAGGCCCCCGCCAAAAACCCTTAAACCCACCCCTACAAGTAAAAACCCTGTTGAGCGGCCCTAAACCCGAAACCCGAAACCCTAAACCCTAAACCCTCAACCCTAAACCCTAAACCCTAAACCCTAAACCCTAAACCCTAACTCAAAACGAGGTGGTTCCTGACAAAGTGCCTGGAGGGCTCCTGGTCGAACCACTTCGTGGCGCTCTTGGCCTTGTTTCTTGCCCGTGAACCCCGTAAGTTAGGGTTTAGGGTTTAGGGTTTAGGGTTTAGGCTTTAGGGTCTAGGGTCTAGGGTCTAGGGTCGAGGGTCTAGCGTCTAGGGTCTAGGGTCGAGGGTCTCGGGTCTGGGGTCTGGGGTCTAGGGTCTAGGGTCTATGACCCCAAAAGTGACCCCAATTCAGAGAAGGATCGGAGAATGATCCACACATATTTCGGTTCGCCTACAGGTGCTTCCTTGGGAAACTACTACTGGGTTTGCAAGTGCCATGTGTTTGGGTTGAGGGCTTATGATGAAGCATAGTCAAGCCCTCAACCCTAAACCCTAAACCTAACACCCTAAACCCGAAACCCTAAACTCCAAACCATAAAGCCTACCTAAGCTAACCTATGCCAAAAGGTAGCCATAAGTATACTGGCCCATCTTCAGAAATTGAATAATAAGCCCTCTATTGCAGACTGCCCTTTATCATGAACGACTCACACCCGCTATGCGCAACTCCTAGCCCGAAACCCTGAACCCTATAAACCCTAAACCCTTCTGAAGCCCAAACCCTGAACCCTGAGTTTCACAGAGGTAATGAAGACCCCACACAGTAGCATGGAAGCAACAGAGGCCGAAAACTCTCATTCTTAAGCTGCTCCACTTGAACTTGTTTAAGGGGTTTAGGGTTTAGGGTTAGGGGTTTGGGGTTTAGGGTTTAGGACGCATGTCATGAATCCCAAGCCCTAAACCTTGCGCCCTTCCTTCCCCCCCCCCCCCCCAACTCAACTGGGTTGAGTCTCTCAGGTATGCCGTCGGGCAGCTCTTTTACTCCTGCCCGGAGTTGCTCCTGCACGCGCTTCGCGCGGAGAACTTGTACACGTGAAGGAACCTTGGGGTTTGGGGGGGGTGTGGAGCGGTGTATAGTACCTACAAACCCTATTAACCCTAAGCCCTGAAGTTCCTAAACCCTAAACCCTAAACCTTAAACCCTAAACCCCTAAGCCCTAAACCCTGAACCCTGAACCCCGAACGCTTAGCTTTTTCAGGGGGTCATGACATAAAGTGGGGATGGCACTCCGAGGTTCTCCTGAACTGGTCTCAACCCAAATCCTACCTTTAGGGTTTAGGGTTTAGGGTTTAGGGTTTAAGGTTTAGGGTCTAGGGTTGAGGGTTCCAGGTTCAGGGTTGAGAGTTTAGGGGTTAGGGTTGGGTTTTTTGTGTTTGGCAAAATTCGGGGAGTACCCTTCTCGGGGGTTCCGAGAACAAGGATTAGAGAGGACTGGGGTTCTGAAGTATGGGCCGTTGGGCTGTATACGGGGTATATAGAGGCTCTCCAATGAATGAGGACCAGGTAGCTACCCTGTGGGCTTTATGGTCCCAGAACACGAAACCCTGCACCCTACACCCAAAAACCTAAACCCTAAACTCCTCAACCCTTAAGCCCTGCACACTCTAAACTACGAATTGCTTCAGAACCCCCTCAAAAAATGAAAACAGTCTTCCTTATAAGGTTAATGCAGGGACCATGATGTTTTACGTTTTGGTGGTTCTGAAGCAAGTCTGGGATGCCCAGTAGTACCCTTATTCCCGTTTTGGGGGTTTAGGTTCCCTTATAACAAACCCCTTTAAGCAAAAAAGGGCACCCTTTTTAAGCCTTGGTTACTGGGCAGCCTAGAAGTAGTAGTAAACCCGAAACTCTTGCGTCTTGATTCCGGGAGGCGCCTTAGCGAAGCACAGGACGATGGCTTTCTATGCGACGAGCTACGAGGTCAGCTTTGGCGGGCTGTGACTAGGGTTTGGGGTTCAGGGTTTAGGGTTTAGGGTTTAGGGTTTAGGGTTTAGGGTTTAGGGTTTAGGGTTTGAAAGTTTAGGGTTTAGGGTTTAAGGTTTAGGGTTTAGTGTTTAGGGTTTGGTACTTGGAGGTTCAGGGAGCTTAAGAACCCAATGATATCTGTACGTATAACTTAATTATGACTGCATCAGGGTCCTTAAGGGGCTCATAGAGTGGCTTAGAAGGTACGGCTATCATCGGGTTATAAGTATGTACCCTGATCCTCCAAGTAGGCCCACGCGGGATGCTTGTGCAGGGTTTCTTCGCGGGTTAGGAGAGGAACTTGTTGAGGTTTAGGGTTTAGGGTTTAGGGATTAGGGATTAGGGATTAGGGTTTAGGGTTTAGGGTTTCCAAAATTTCTCAAGGGGCTTGAAGGCCCCTATTGTAAAATCCTAAGCGGTGCCTTTTTGGTATATACTTGGGCCTTAACAGGGCTCCTATGTCGTAGCTTCCGGGCTCAGGTGTAAACGATACAGGTACATGGACCTTCAGGGAAATCCAAGACCCTAAGCCCTACACCCTCAACCCTAAACCCTAAAACCCTAAACCCTAAACCCTAACCCGTAACCCCTAAACCCTAAACCCTAAACCGTTCAGAGAGCTTCATGTGGAGCCTAGGTGATGCTGTGGTGGGACAGGCCAGAGTCCAGAAAGACGCGATCGAGCCTGACGCTCCTGTCTCCAGAGCCCCCAATGATCCCTCAGGTTTATGGGGGTTCAGGGTTTAGGGTTTAGGGTTTAGAGTTTAGGGTTTAACGTTTCAGGTTTAGCAATTTAGGGTTTAGGTGTTCGGGTTTCGGGTTTAGGCTGCCCCAACTAATGTCTTAGGATCATGCTCCCTAAAACCCTAAACAAAGATCAGGGCCTAAACCCAAAACCTTTCTAAAGGCAAGTCACTTGAATATTTCCATTTCAGGCAGGCATTGGAGCCTCCTAGGGTTTAGGGTGTAGAGTTTAGGGTTTAGGGTTTAGGGTTTAGGGCTTTGGGTTTAGGGCTTTGGGGGGTATTGGAGTCTCCGGGTTTGCGCGTGAACACCTCAGTCTGCGGCCTGGGGCAACAGCGGTGTCAGCTGAAAGTAATCCGTGTTGGGTTTAGGGTTTAGGGTTTAGGGTTTAGGGTTTAGGGTTTAGGGTTTAGGGTTTAGGGTTTTGAGGGTTTAGGGTTTAAGGGGTTCCTAGGTAGGACATTATCCTAGGAATCAGAGTAGGCCCTTATTCCCGCTCTTTTTGGAGTTTGGGGGTTTCGGGATAACTAGGACCCAGAGTGGGCTCTTCTTCCCTTCTTTTGGGGCTGCGGTTCCCTTACAAGCCCCTTGCAACCCAAAAACGGTTTAGGGTTTAGGGTTTAGGGTTTAGGTTTATGAAATCAAAGGGACCCCAGATGTAGTCCCCAAATAGTAGGATTCCCTTAGAGGACAGGGCTGGGACACCCGGAAAGGAAGCAAACGTTCGGAGGCGTGACCAGATGCTGAGCGCCCGCTGTAGAAAAAAACGTCTCGCTGCCTCGAGAAGTATCCTGCAGAGTTCAGGGTTTAGAGGTTTAGGTGTTTCGGGTTTAGGTTTGGGGTTTAGGGTTTCGGGTTTAGGGCTTGGGGGTTTCTAGGGCACATAGGTGCTGAGTGGGTAGCCTCTGATTCCCCTTCCTGCCACACACCCCCGCTTTCAAATCCCGAGCCCCAATCCGAAGCTTATGATTCCTGGAATAGGGAGCAGCAACCACTTGCAGCTTCATGGTACTTAATAACCCAAGTATCACTGTACTTTAAAAGGGCTTGTCAGTGGGTTAGAAGCACAGTTGTGTTTTTTTTTATTAAGTAACCTGAACCTCCAACCACATCACCTACCTCCGGCTTCTTGTCAAGGTGCTCATGAAGTACTTGAAGGCATGTTCAGGGCTATGGGCTTCCTAAGCCCTAAAGCCCGGCAGGCCCTTAAGCCTCAGCTCCCTGAACCCTCAGCTTCTGTCCTGGTGAAGCAGGAAGTTTAGGGTTTAGGGTTTAGGGTTTAGGGTTTACAAAACAAAAAGCAAACTTGAAGGCCTAAACTCCCAACCCTAAAGCCTTAAAGCGGAGACCAGCCAAACCTTCAACTCGAACCACCCTGGAAGCTGAGATTTTAAACCCCAAACCTTAAACCCCAATCCTAACCCCAGACGCGAAACCGGAGCAACAAGACATGTTCGCCCAGCTATGCCCACAGCCCGACATTGCAAGCGCAACTCCGCAAAGCAGAAGGTTCAGAACTTCTTCAACCCTGTTGCGACCCTAAACCTTGAATGCCAAACTCAAAGGCCTGAACCCCAAACCCTAAACCCCAAACCCTAAACCCCAAACCCTAAACCCCAAACCCTAAACCCCAAACCCTAAACCCTGAACCCTGAACCCTAAACCCCAAGCCCCACGCCACCCAAGGTCATGGTCCACTTGTCCATGGCACCGCAGGTGCGACTCGCAGCAGGGTTTAGGGTTTAGGGTTTTGGATTTAGGATTTAGGGTTTAGGGTTTAGGGTATAGGGTTTAGGAGGGTTTGTAGGGTCTGTAGGGTTTCTGGGGTTTCTAGGGTTTGTAGGGTTTGTAGGGTTGTTAGGTTTAGGTTTAGGGTGGTTTAGGGTTTAGGATTTAGGGTTTAGGGTTTAGGATTTAGGGGTTCAGGGTTTAGGGTTTCAAGGATTTTGGTTTGGGTCTCTAGGACTTCTAGGGTTTGTAGGGTTTGTAGGGTTTCGAGGGTTTCTAGGGTTTGTAGCTTGTAGGGTTTGTAGGGTTTGTAGGGTTTACTGGTTTAAGGTTTAGGGTTCAAAAAAGCATGCCGCCCCCACCCCCGCCCCGCCCGCCCCCGCGCACCCTAAGTCAGAAAACCCTCACAATGCATGTGTTGTTTTCGGGTAGAGGCTTTTGGTGAGGGCGACGTGGCTGCCCTATACCCTGCAAGCTTTCCCGCTGACACTTTGTCCGATGTGTGCATTTCGATCGTAATTTCAACTCTTGACCCCTCTCAACGCCTTACCCTTAAACCGTTGAACCCTTCGTCCCTTCAACACTTAAGCCTTAAGCCCCTAAACTTAAGCCCTGACCCTATATCCATGGACGCTATACACACATTTGTTTGGGGCTGGAGGTCCAGCGTTCTAAGGCCCCCCACACAACTGGCTTTGGGAGGATCTGATTTCTCGGGGGGTTGGGTTTAGGGTAACCCTAAACCCTAAACCCTAAACCGACTGGTTTCATGACTCCCCTGTCTGAAGCCAGTTGAAGCCTATACCATACGGAGCCAGGGAGCGGGGGCTAAACCCTACACCCCCAAACCCTAAACCCTGAACCCTAAACCCTAAACCCTGAACCCTGAACCCTGAACCCTAAACCCTAAACCTGCGATGCAAACGATTCGGGCCCCATCCTTATACTAGGACCGGGAGTAGGCCCTCTTTTCCTTTTGTTCGGTTTGGGGTTCCCTTATAATCCCCTTACAACCAAAAAAGGGCACCGACTCTTTATTCCTAGGTTACTCCCGGGTCTAGCATAGGGCCGATGCCTCCGAGGGCTTAGGGTTTAGCTTATTTGGTGTTCAGGGTAGTTCCACGGTCCCTTATTGCGGGCCCCTGACTGGTGAACCTATATATATACCCCTTGCACACCCCAAAAAACATAAGGGCCATGTTAGGAGACCAGGTAGCTTCCCTTAGATTAACCCCTAAACGGATAAGGGTTCAGGGTTTAGGGTTTAGGGTTCAGGGTTCAGGGTTTAGGGTTTAGGGTTTAGGGTTAGGCGTTGGATAGTCGTAGATCTCAAGCCCGAATGTGTGCCGCGGCTCATGTGTGTTTGGCGCTGCAAGCTAAACTGTGCCCACAACGGTTTTTAAGCGTTCAAGCAATGTTGGGTTGCTGGTTCTGTGCTGTCTTCCTGTTGCTGATTTTCCAGGACAGAGGTAGCTGCACCTATAGCGAACACATCCAGGTTAGGTTGGTACTGCCCGTACCTTAAGTCCTGACTATTTAATGTCCCTGCGCTGCAGAAACGCCGAACACTTGTGAATTCTGCATGGTTGTGCCGTTGT